AGAAGGAAACATATTGTCAGAGGAATGCTTGTTTCACTTAATGACATTTCATGATTCTGTTGTCTCTTCTTGACCATGTTTTGTATTAATTTAAAGGGCATAGCAACAGTAGAAAAATAATATTTAAGTAGTAATAAAAGTGAGTATTGGAGGAGCTACAATAGTGTGATAGTCTAGCCTCAGGGTATGAAGCAGAAAAATATCTTTCGTGATTTAGGAAGGTGTCTTTTTTTTTTTTTTGTCTTTTCTTTTAGGTGCTGGGATCGAACCCAGGGCCTCACGCATGCTAGGCAAGCGCTGTACCACCAAGCTACATCCCAGCCCTAGGAAGGTTTTTTAATGAAGTCAGAATTGACAATCCACTGCTTTAAACATTTCTTGATTCTAGCTATATATATATATTTCCCAGCCTCACTTAGTTATGCTACATTACATGTACGGGTGTCAAATCCACGAAGTATATTTGTAATATGATCTGCTTTAGTTTCAATATGGAGGTGATTTTTCTCTTTATTTCTTTGATACCACTTCATGATGGTACAGTTGTTCCTTTTTTTTTAATAGAATTAAGTAAACTTCATTTTGATTTGGCTTATGATCTTTAAGTGGATCTAAACCTTCCCATATCTTCATAAAATGTGTATACTGTATATGAAATAAGTAAATGTTTTTCCAGTAATTGTTGGTTTTTCTTAATATGCAGGGTTTTTTTTAAAGTTGATTAGCTCTATTAAATAATTTGTGTTCACATTCATACAGCTTCACCTACCATCCTTCATTGTTACATTACTTCAAATTGTCCAGGTCATATTTTTCAATTGTCTTGACCAAAATTACTAACATCAGCCTACAAAAGAAGTGCTTGAATAAAGAAAATCAGCTTTTTAAAATATGATGACTTACTGGAGTATTAGTGCTATTAATTTACTGTTTTTAAAAAATGTTCATAGTTTTACCAAAAGCTAATGGTGAAATTTCATGTAATAAAAACAGCAGGACAGACATTTTTGGAAAAGGTTTGCTTTCAAATAATAAGTCTATGAAATTGTGGTTTTCTATAAGAATAATCAATCTACCCCTACTTTAATGAATAAATGGGAGCTTTTCATTTTACCAAAAGATTACGTGTTACCTGCTAGATCAATTATTATCCTATTGGGTTCCTAAAAACTTCTCTATTTTTCTGTCCAATTACAGACAGAAAAAAAAAGTTTCTTTTTGTTCTCAGTTTAGCTTTGTTTTTTTTTTAAATTACCATGTCTAGATTATTTCATATTACTAATTTGGTTCAACAGGGCTGCTACATTAACTTAAAAAATTAATGGCAATTTACTGTTCACTTAGAGATTTGGTTAGAAATCAAGCAAGGCAAATAGATAGAAAACCAGCTGAGTCAGATAGGTACAGCCTTTTAGGGAGGATCTTTTGGGGGAACTGTTTACCAAAGGCCAGAAACAGCAATAGATAAAAAACAGCAGCTTTACCTCTCTAAAATATTATATTTGGATAAGACATTTCAGAACTAAATCTGGGAAGTTCAATCTTGGTAATTCCATTCATCTTCACTTCATTTGCTAGAGTTTGGATTTTGTCCTATCATTTTTGTGATTCACAGAATTAACATATTTAAAATAACATGATGGAATTGTTTTGTTTCAGCTGTTTTAATTTTACATTTACTTTCATTTTCTCTTAATATTCTCTTCTACTTGCTATTTTCCCGAATTGTCTGAGTTCTATGTGTGTGTGTGTGTTGCAATGCTTCCTCTTTTTCTTTTCTGCTTTCCTAACAGATCTTGCCAGTAGACACTAATAAGGACTGTGAACTTTCACATCGTGTTTACACATACATATGGCAGAAAGGGAAATTCTGTTGCATCACATTCCCTCAGCTTCCTTTTGCAGATTTAGGTTTTACTGAAAATAGGTTCCAAAGAGATACTACCAAGCACTGATATGTTCCTAGGAGATGGCTCTGTTTGTTCATATCACTTTCTGTCTCTTGAATAAGATATTTGGGAGGAAAAATGCTGTTTTGCAATTTTCTTTTATATTCCTACGTTAGGAATCTATGTTTTCAAAGTATTAGTCACTTATATCAGACTTACATGTGTGTAGGTAAAAATGCGTATTCATGGGCCTTACCCAGATCTGTACAGTCAGAATCTCTGGAGGTGGAGCTAGGAATCTGCAGTTTTCAATAAGCTCTCAGTATGTTCCTTCTCTGGACCAATGTTTGAGAATCATTAGAACAGCAAAATGTTCTGCCATGGTTTGGGTATGGTTTGAATGTGTTCCCCAAGGGTTCATGTGTTGGAAGTCTGGTCTTCAGTGTAGGTGGTAGAACTTTTAAGAGGCAGGACTTAGTGGAAGGTAATTAGGTTACGAGAGTATTGGCTGAAAAGGATTAATGCTGGTTTTCAGAAGTGAGGACAACCTCAAGATCAGGTTGTTATAAAGCAAGGCCACCCCAAATGTTTGGCCCCTACTGCATGGGGCTATTTCCCTTTCCATTTCTCTGCCATGTTGTGATGCAGCCAATGGGAGCCTCACTGGAGGTCAAACAGATAGGGTCTTCCAACCTTGGATTTTTGGCCACCAAAACTGTGAACTAAATAAACTTCTTTTCATTATGAATTACTAACCCTTAGGTATTTTGTTGTAGCAACAGAATATGGACTAATATAGTTCATCAAGCAATACGTCCTTAATAATTTATCAATCATCAAGTAATTATTTAGGACCTATTGCTTGATGAAGTAAATTTTGGAAGTAAACTTCTAATTATTTCTCAAATGTGTTGAATTTTCTCTTGTGAGTTAGCCTTGTATTTTCAATCACTGGCTGAATATGCTTAGTCAAATGCTTTTTCGTCCCACTCTCACTCAACACATCCAAAACTAATCCATCCACTCCAATTCTGTCATCATGAAATTGTTATCCATGGATTATGTTTGGAATCATTCCTTATACTTTGTGATCCATTACTTTTGCCTAACACATTGGCCACTATGCCAACCACTGGAAATGACAGTGATGAACAAGGCAGACAGGGTTCATTCCCTCTTAGATTCTTTTACAGAGAGTAACTTAATCCTATTGATTTTTTAGTACTTTCCTCAGGCTAGCCCTTAACTTTCCTTGTTATCACCCCAACGTAGAATCTGACCACTTATGCCTGGACTGATATGATTTTTTCCTAATTAGTTTCTTTACTTGGAACCTCCTACCTCTTCTGAAAAGATAATCTGCTAAAAAATGTTTTACCTTCACTTAATGCCTTTGTTTTCATGGCTATCTTCCAAACTAGATTTAAGGTTCTTTACAATCTGGCCCACAAATGAATTCCTACTGAATAAACTTCTACTCCTATCAGATACCTGAATTTGATGTAAACATTTTCACTTATTTTCTGGGTTCATGACTTTGTTTACACTTTCTGATTAACCAAGCCATATTTTTCTCTTGAGGTCTAATTCTTTCTCCCACAAACCTGGTTGGCTCTCAGTACTTGCTTTCTTCAATTATGGTGATTCTCTGCATTACTCATTAAACATTTAGCATGTACTCCTTGATATTACTGCTTATCTTCTAATTTATTTTACTAATTCCTCAGTTATTGCACTAGCTTCCTGAATGTAGGAGCAATGTTTTATGAACTTTTTTCTCTTCCAGGTAGGCTGATGTCTAGTATGTATCAATAAATATTCATCAAATTCATTTATTTATGCATTGCTTCATCAAATATTGAATGCCCAATGAAAACTCACATGATCCTTGCTCTCATAGGGCTTAATATATAGTTGGAAAGACATTAAACACATAATTAAAACAAAATGTTATGAATACAGTTGTATCCATCTGTTAGCAAAGCAATATTTAATAAGTACCTCTCATATCCCAGACATTGTGTACAAAGCTGAAGCTAACAGTCTAGTGGAGAGAATGACATAACTACAGATTACAAGTGCCAATCACATGCAAATCACTAAACAACAAGTGCAAACAAAATATCATAAAGCTTAAGGGAGGGTGCAAACTATCCCTGTTAAGGAGCCAGGAAGGATCCAACACTTCTGTTAGGTCTTGAAAGTGAATTTAAAAAAGGGTTGAAGAAACCTGAGCTAAATCAAGAAGCTGGGAAACTAATGAGCAGGTGAAGCAAAGTAGAGGCTGGTATCCTTGACGGGTTACTGTCCAAGTGAATGGATAGGTCTGGGTTGCTGGGCCTTCCTTTGGGGCCTTCCTTGTCCTGTTGCCTCAGTATGGAGAGTTGTTCCTAGGGAAAGCACCTAGTTGTCTTTATAGACTTCTTGAACACCAGGGAAGAATTAAATCTGGGATCATTTTCTCTAGAAATCACAGAATGATAAACGCGGAAAGGATAGCAGAAATCACCCAGCTTTTTCTAGCTTACATCTCCCACAACCTTAGGAATTCTCAAGGTGGCAAATGAAATGTTGCAATCAACTTTCAACACTCACAAGAAGGCTACCAGAAATGGTACATTTTGGGCAAATTTCCTTGTTTTGTACTAAGATTATGTCAGATCCACATTAAACCGAGGTTCTGACTGAGCTGTCTTCTGATTGACACCTTTCACTGACTTCAACATTTATTGCTCACAACGATGTGGATTGGCTCAGCATCAGGAGAGCTAGGACGACGTGACTCAGTCCAGCGCGCTGTATAACTGTTCCGGGCTTCTCGGTTTCTTCCTGAGCGTCTCTGGCCTACAGTGCTATCATTTCACTATTCTGCAGCACCGGTCCTGCATACCCTAGCCATCCGGCAACATGGCCTTTGCTGCAGGAGATAGAGATTGCCGGCAGCCGCGTTCAGAAATGCGCTCGCTCACACGCATGCGCGATACAGCTCCTCCGCTCGGGCACCGCCTCCCGAGGTAACCTGCGTGCATCTGCACCCGGGGCGCGCATGCGTATTCGAGACTTGACCCTTCTGCCCCTCCCATTCATTCCCCTCCCTGCTATCCTTTGACTTCAGTAAACGGCCTGCCCTCCGGTACGTCACGAACGAGAAGTGCTTTCGACCGGGAGTCTCCACTGCCAGGACTCCGTCGACCCGAGGACGCGCCGCCGGGAACGTGCACAGTTGTATCCCCGTCGCTCCCGCCCCTTCCGCCTCGCGCGCGCGCGCGCGCACGACTGGCCACGGCGCGCCCGGGTTGGCTGCGGCGGGACCGCGGTGGCGGCCTTGGGAGCGGTAGTGGCTTCTACAGTGCTTTATGACTTTCTTCCGCCCCCTCCGGTCGGACGCTGTTGTGTGGTTGCCTTAAAAAACCCAACTTTATTGTTCCTCAGCCCCACCTCCCGGCGCGCGTCCTCAGGATGCAGGGAGGCTGAGGGAGGAGGGGCGGCGGCGCAGGGTCGCGGTCGCGGGGACCCTCTCCGAGTGCCTGGCTGGAGGGAGGGAGGGAGGGAATCACGATGTCCGGTAGCCGGCAGGCCGGGTCGGGCTCCGCTGGGACGAGTCCCGGCTCCTCGGCAGCCTCGTCGGTGACTTCCGCCTCCTCGTCCTTATCCTCGTCCCCGTCGCCCCCTTCCGTGGCGGCCTCGGCGGCGGCGCTGGTGTCCGGCGGGGCGGCCCAGGCCGCGGGCTCCGGTGGCCTCGGGGGGCCCGTGCGGCCTGTGCTGGTGGCGGCCGCGGTGTCGGGCAGCGGCGGCGGGAGCGGCGGCGGGGCGGTGTCCGCGGGCCTGTCCCGGCTCAGCTGCGCGGCCAGGCCCAGCGCTGGCGTGGGAGGGAGCAGCTCCAGCCTAGGCAGCGGCAGCAGGAAGCGACCTCTGCTCAACCCCCTTTGCAACGGGCTCATCAACTCTTACGAGGACAAAAGCAACGACTTCGTTTGGTGAGTCTTTGGAAGCGCAGCCCCTCCTCGCTAGACTGGCAGGGGCCAATGTGGGGTGGCCTGTGGGAAAGCTGGGGACCCCGTGTCCTAGCCGGAGGGATTCGGGCTTCGGGTTGGAGGGTCGGGGCGGGGGTGATGTGGGAATCCCAAGACCAAGCGGGGGAGGTGGGGATAATAAAAGCAGTAAGTGGTAAATGCTGGTGTGCTGGAGGTAAAGGGAATTTAGGGAATAATAAGTAATGGTGGGGGTTGAGATCGGATGGGAAAAATTGGGCAAGGAGGTTTGAGTCTTGAATTTTTGGGGCTGTCTGATGATGGATTAGGGACCCAATCAAGAGTACCAATTCAAGTGGATTACTTTTGTAAAGGAGGAGAACTAAGCTTCTTGGAATTTTGAAGGATGGAGTTGTTTGATAAAAATTTGCTTGCTGTCAGTGTGGTAGGTGATGCTCTAAAGATGGGCGTGGATGTATTAAGCTGAAGTACCCACCATGGTCATGTATGTCTCTTCTTTAACTCCTTCCTTCCTTCCTTCTCTTTCTTTCTTAATTAGCATATATTAATTGTGCAAAGGGGTCTCATCATATCTTCATACATACCTATAGTGTACTTTGCATTCACCTTTTCCATTTTAAAGGGTACACCACTTTTAAAACTGCTGCTGAGGATACGGTAGTCAATCTGTTCAGGGAAAATTCCACTTTTCAACTGATCACTGTAACTGAGTAACTTGAAAGAGGGAACCACGTTTATTAAGTACTCTCTGTGTGTTAGATATATATATATTACAGTATCATTGTACTGGGAAGTCTGACTTCAGTAATGTTTGCGTTAGGCATTTTGTCCTTACAGTTGTCATCTTGAATGATACACAGTATTCAGTCATATTTTGCTTAAGAGGGTCTTGTCATATTGAGTGAAAGATGGAGTTGATTGTCCGGAAGAGAATGTTGTTTAATTTTCGTTGGGGTTTAGACTTGTGGGTAGGATTATGAGAGTGTTTGTTTTTACCTGATTAAGAACTGGTACAGGTGTGTGCCTTTTCTTCTGGAGGAACTTGTTGACTGAAAATATTAGTAATGTAGGAAGTTGGCTTGCCCAGTCATTGGGGAAGTTGATTCACTTTAGGGTTGAAGGTGGCCTGAATTGTTATTAAATGTGAAAGGGCTAAAAATGGGAACTATTGGGAAACTTACTGATTATACTCACACAATTTCCACTTTCTTCACGAGAATAATGATATCTTTATTTGTATTTCTGCTTTTTCCTTAAATTATTCTGGATTTAGAACTTCTTTTTCGTTGAAAGTGGTTTATAATTGTGATTGTCATTTATAAATTAAACAGTTTATGGTTAAATCTAATAGGTGTTTGCATTCCTGCCCAATCAATAGTGCCACGTGATAAGGAAGGTAGAAGTAAAATAAATTGAGGGTGCAGAAATAGTTACCCTTGTAGCCACTGTTCGCATTTCAGTTTTCAGTAGACTCAAAATGAACATGCCAGCATCATTTAAATGGTGTAACAGGTGGGAAATAAATCAGTCATTCATTCATCAGATACTTGTAAGACTGTCTTTGTCTCCCAGGCACTGTCCTTTTCTATGTACTACAGGCTATGTTTTAGGAAATGGAGGAGACATTGGAAACAGCTAACGATGTTTTGTTTTGTTTTTTGGCAGTACCAGGGGGTTGAACTCAGGGTCTTGAGCATGCTACGCAGGCACATTACAGGCCACTCCAGCCCTGATTTTTTTTTTTTTTTTTTTTTGGCGGTACTGGGGTTTGAACTCAGAGCCTACACCTTGAATCATTCCCACAGCTCTTTTTTGTTGTGGGTTTTTTCTGATAGGGTCTCAAGAACTGTTTGCCCAAACTGTCTTCGAACAGTTCGATCTTCCTGATCTCTGCTTTCTGAGTAGCTAGTCTTACAGGCATGAGCCACTGGCACCTGGCTGATTTTTATTTTTTAAAGAGTTATATTATTAAAATTTTTATTAGTTCAGCACCCAATTTTTAAAATGTCAGCCTATTCTTATCCTAACCATGTTGTGTAGGTACTGTTTTATATTCTCATGTAGAAATGTCCAATGAATATTTGTACTTGAAAATTACAAATATTTCTTTTTCTAAGAATCTCTTTAGTACCTTATTTCTTTTTCTAGTGAGGCTGAAAGTCAGAAGACTCAATCAGTAAGAGTCTACCTTTTGCTTCTCAAGCCATGTTGGATTTTGTCCATATTCTTAGGGTGGGAGGATATCGACTAGGCAAGACCCAAGGAATCCTTTTTATTTCTAGTTGGCTTCTAGGGGTTGGTCTTGTCTTGTATGCCTCAAGGTCAAGCTGTGAACCAATTCACAAGTTCAAATAATAACTGGTAATTCCTTATTCTTTGATAGCACATTTAAAAAATATGCTTACATTTCACATTTCATTTTATCTGTGGAGCGGTTATATAGAGATATTATATAGAATGTTATTTTAACATAATACTAATAAAATGATATTCCTGTTGAGACGCAGAGAAGTTAAGTAACATTGTTTTAGACTGAACAGCTGAGAGACAGAATAAGGACTCAGAGCTTTAGATTTTCAATTTTGTGCTTTCTTTGTATGTAATTGGAAAGTCTCAGGTGTATAAATTCCAGTATATGTATTTAGCCAAGTGGTTCTTAAATGGGTGTGGATTGGAGAAAAGCACCTATTTCATTCATATGAAATAAATGTGTATCCTACGAAGACAATGGATTTGGAGGGTAGGGTAAGCAGTTCCTGATAAGGACATGACATGTCCTCCTCTCTTCCGAATAGTTATTTGAGTAAAGACACACACTTAATTTCAAGAGCACTCATCAGCCACTCTTGACTTTCATATTTGAAAATAGGTCTACGTTTAATTGCAGAAAAACATTGTAGGAATTAATAGTTTGCATTTTAATATTTCATACTAAAGATTGAATGTATTGACAAGTTGCAGATAATTTTAATGGTGTTTTATAGGTGGAGAGTCTGTGGTATAGGAGTGAGTAGTACTTAGCTTGATGTTGAATAAATCTTCAACATTCAAAGAAAGTCTTCGTTACTTTGGTTTGTTTATTCAAGTTTCTTTATATTGCCCACTTAAACTATGAATCTAGAATTTGGAAGGTGGTTTCCATCTTGATTGTTTTATTCTGTAGCATAACTACCATCTCTATATTAGCTTTTCTTACTATATGAAATGATCTTTTCTACCTCTTTAGCAAAGGTTATTTTCTGAGTTAAAGCAGAAATATTTAGTTGCAAATAAATAGTAAGCTTCTTGGGGGAAGGTTACCTTTAATTATCTTCTTGATAGGATTTACATTTGGCTCCACCATTCGATAAATGTGTGGCTGCTATTTTATGTCAGACTAGTAAGACAATTCTCTATCCTTAAGGAACTCATGATTTAATGCAGAGAAAGACTTTAATTGCATAATTATAATGTAACCTAGTATCAGTGCTTCTCAAAGTACCATATCCTTAGTACCATCATCATTGCTAAATATTCAAATGAATTTAGAGTCTCACAATCCTGGACATAGCAATTTAGGAAACAGTCACATTTAGCAGGAAAGATAAGATGTGTTGACTATCCTTGCTACTGTAACTGTTTTCTAAACTATTAAAAAGTGGAATAGAAGATACCATATAGAATCTTTCGTAAACATAGTAATAAAATTTATTTGATGAAACCTGGTCATATCTGTACATACATTGTATGTGCAATGTATTTCTTGCCAAATGTCAAGGCACTGAGATGGGATATAATTTTCCTGTGATAGGAAAGTGGAAAATTTAAATGACCTTTTTAGATTCTTGTGAACTTCTAAGTATAGGACTAAATGCAATTTAAAGAGCTGTTAAGGAATATTCAGTTATTGAAATAAACTTTAGAATTTATTACATTACTATATTAATACCAATCAAGAATTTCCTTGAATCTGACAAGCAGAAACTTGATTCTTTATAATGTGCCATTTGGATGACAATGGCAACGAAGTGTGTTCTGTAGAAAATGTCAAATTATAACCATTCTTTATGGTCCTTCTGATGATATCAGATGGTGAAGCGTCACAATCAATGTTAGCAGAAGACTTAGGTGAATTAAGTGGTGGAGAAAATAAGGACGATTATAAAGCGGGGTATGAAAGACTGTTAAGTTGAATTTTAGTCTATAAATTGATAGGGATGTACTTGTGCAGTAGTAATTCATTACTAAAGAATGTATTGGATTTATAGTTATTACTACCTCTTACAGATCTTTGTATTTTTTCTGGTAGTTAGCCAATATTACTTAGATAATCATTTTTACTTAAGCAATCAACATTACTTTGTTGCCCATTTTTCCTCTTGTAATGTGCATGTTCTTGATGATTTCTTTCTGGTTTATATGATTATTTTAGCTTGCAACTTTCTTCCTCAGAAAACTTCTGTACCTTAGGAGGAAGTGTTTTTTGACAGTGAAATTAGCCAATATTTTTCCTGTTAAAATATGTATTATACAAAATGCTTTAAAAACTATTAGTATATGGTCTGTGCTCCCCATCTTTGCCCTTCGCTTTGCTTATTTGCTTTGTGTCTGTCTTTGTATGTGTTCATACCAGCTTCTATTACTATAGGTAGTCCCTACCTTCCCAAGCAATATTTTCTTTGAGATTGACATATTTTCATAAATGTTAGCTGTCTTTTCATTTTCACAAATTGATTCTGTTTCTTTATAGAGTGAACTGTGGATTGAACTAGGTGGTCTGATTTCCATCCATTGTTTTTGATACAAGTTTGGAAATACATCCTTCTTTCTCCCTAGTTCGTATGGTTTGGGGTTGGTGCTCCTCTTTCCCAGATTCAGAATTGAAACACACAATTTCAGGCCCAAGTAATCTAGTGCGTTGGAATCCCCTGCCTTCAATATTTGTTTAAGGATGGATATTGGGTTTCAGTAGAGATGAGATTAAGTGGGCCTTGTAAAATTACAGG